GGCCGCCCGAGCTCCACGCAGCCTGCGGCGGGGTGACCCGCAGCTCCGCTCCGGGCAGAGCAGGCAGCCCCGTCCCGGCCTCCTCCAGCGCTCCACGCGCCCCCGACACCGCGCTGGGGCCGGGCCGGGCCTCCCGCCCGCCCGGCTGTCGCGCCGCGGTTGCCTCGGCAACCGGCCGCCCCGGGGAGGCCTCGGGGCAGGGGACGGCAGGCGCGGGGCGGCGCTCGGCTGGGAAAGGCGGCGGCGAGGCGGGCACCTGCTGCTGGGCGCCCCGGCGGTGCGTGCTGCCTCGGCGCGCCTCGTACGGCCCTAGTCGCGTTGTATCCGGGTTGGAAGGGGACCACCGCAATCCCCGCGTGCTGGCTCTGCACGGGACCACGCAGAATTGAAACCATACGCGTTTCTTAGAGCCTCGTCCAAGCATTGCTGACTTATGGCAGCTCGGGCCGTGACGGCTGCCCTTGACAGCCCGTTCCATGCCCACCGCCCTCTGGCAAAGAACCTTTTTCCAACACCCAGCCTGACCCTCTCCTGACGCAGTTCCACACTAGTAACGACAGCTTTGTTCTCTTATCTTCTCCCAACCGACTTGCTCAGGCCCCCTGGAGAACAGCTCTGAGTCCAGCCCCCACAAGTCCTGCAAGCCCTCACCTCAAAAGTGTCATGGCGGAGCACTTGGCCTGTTTTAACGTGTGCTCCGTGCCCACCTTCGGGGTGACGGCAGGGAGAAAACTGCACCCGTATGTGGGCAGGAGGAGGACGCAGGCGTGGAGTGCCCACTGTGTCCATGAATTTTTTAACATTGTTTGTTGTTGCACAGCTCTGGACAGACAACAAAGTAGTTCAAAAAGTGTCAATCAATCAAAAAGTGATTGCCCCAAAACAGTAGGAATTAGCACTCCTGGACTGAACCTTAAGCATTTATTGGAGCCTAACATTTTAACCAACTAGCTGATTGCGTTGTTGCCACTGAGCTCATCCTTCGGAGTTGAAAAACTTTGTACTTTTAATTTAGCTTAAACTGCCAATATTAGTAGCTGGAATTATTATATGTAATTATTCTTTATAAAGAAAACATTGATCATTTAATCAATTATATATATATTTACTTATGTTTCAATATATATATACAAACAGCTTCTTCGTTAGCTAGAAATCTGTAAGTTTGGACCTTCAGTCAGCTAAGCTTGGAACAAGACTAGAGGGGAAAGGCAGGGATTTAGTGCTTAAAAACACTCTGCTGCTCCTAAATCCAGGGATCCAGGGACTAATCTGTGCCAGCCGAGACTTCAGGATCACTGGTGACTCTGAACTTTCCACCAAGAATATTCCAACCACTTTTAAACACAGAGCTGGCTAAAGGCATCTGCAGCAGTGCTGTATAGCACAGTTGATTCAGTATGATAAATGGCCAAGAGCCACTTCCAGGATACCACGTCGGTCAGGAGTTCCCAACATATTTAAACTTTGTCTTGGGAAGCTAGGCCAATTGCAGCAAGACTCCATCACAGTCATGTCTACAATATCTACTACATAAACCAAGGCAAGCCAGTGAACTATCTGCGAGATGCCTTTTTTTTCTCGATGCATTTCTAAGTTGCTGAGAATTAGAAGTATTCTACCTAGAGGTTATTTCAAGGTATCTTAACTATAAGCTGCAGCGTTTTGCCTACTCTTTACCTCCATGAGCAGCTGCTCCCTGACTAGAGCTAAATTTCTCAGCACGTATAGTCACTGCCTTTAAAATAGCATTTTGTAAGTTTGTTTTAAAACAGCTTTAAGTCTTTTTGTTTTTCATTGTGGTAAAACATTTATTCCCTCTTTCAAGAGGAGTTTGATATATATCACCATCTGAAGAAAGTCATGTCAGTTTTAAGTTAGCTACGGATACAGCTGTGCAGATTGTATTTCCTGCCAATATCAGGACCTTCTCAACTGCCTGTCTCTTTCCAGTTCTTCCCTCTTCAGCTGTGCCCCATCCAAGCTTTCTTGTCTTTGTCTGCTAGCAATTTGCAGACCTTTTCCATACTTATCTACTATGCACCAGGCAGCCATTTTCACTCCCCTCCATTAGCAACATCAGATTTGACTATCGTACTTCTGCAGCCATCTAATGTACTACCCAGTTTCCACAGAATCCTACCCTATTTGAACACAGGATTATCACCTCACCTCTAAATCCTCTATAGTGCTCACAGGAAACTAGGTAACTAACGGATGAGTTAAAATACAGAACGCCTAAAACTTCATACAGTGCAGGATAATGTTGGATGAAGGTTTTTGAGCAAAGGTTATTCTCACATGCAAAGTAGTGACTTTGTAAATTCAACAGAAGAGATCTGATAAAGTTACAACAGGTCTTTAACTAAGTCAATATGACCACAGAGATACAAAGATTCTTATGCACAAATGCTTTTATACCTACTGCTGCTGTTACAATTAACCAAACATTTGCTGCAGGGAACCATGGGGGAAGGTTTTCATTTGTATTTTGACTGCA